TTATTAATAGTATGGTCATCTCGCTCCCCCTTGCGGTCAACTACCGCTTAGATAGAGAGGGGTATGGTGAACAGTCGTTTGCTGCCGCCCACAAAGTTATGGGTAGTTTGATGTCGGAATGTACAGTATTTGTGCCGCTATATGTGCGTGCTTGACATGGTTGGTTGTATTGGATAGGTATTTCGTGCTTGTAGTACATGTTTAGTTTTAGCATTGTAAGCCATTCTGATGCTGCTAATGTTGTTACATCATCATTGCACGATTTGATAGGAAAATTTGTACCTCACATCATATTAAGTACCTAGTTTCAAATTACGAACTTACCGCGAACGATAGAAATTTGTTTAGGTAAGCTTTAAATTTTTAAATAATATATTTGGTAATACTTCAAGAATATCAATTGGATGTTTAAAAATTATTACTACTTTTTTAGACGTTTTCAAATGCCTAAGTAACTAAACTAATCAAAATCTCTTGGCAACAATCAAAACATCACAACCACTCTTCATATCAAGTAATTGAGCCAAAATACTTGGATTATCTGTTACGTTGAAGAAGTTATAAGCTGTAAATAGACGTGACCCAAATATAAATTTCCTTATTTTTTATATTATATTGGTAATCTCGTATCTTGGTGTAGTCAAGTCAGTATGAGATACGTGTCATACGTGTCATTATAGTACAACTGCTCACCGTGTATAATGTCATAATAATATTGATGTATGCGGAAGGAGAAGACACATAGCGTTACTGTTTACTAAAACTTATTTTTTTATATTACTATAGTGATAGGAATTTGTCTTATGAGTTATGTTCTTTTGATTTTATCTACTTTTTCACTGTATTTTTGTTCAGAACGTTTCATGGACGTCAAGAAATTGTCTGTGTCTAAAATTACCAAGTTGGTAATTTTTTTTGTTGGTAATCCCAACTTGGTAGTTTGAGAGTAAGGGGAAAAACAAACTTAATGAAATACCATCTTTAGCCAGATAGTATCCTAGCCTTTTCACATTTTAATTTGTGATTTTTTCCTCGATGTAAGAGTTTAATTTGACTGAGAAAAATGTTATTTAATTTATCATCATTTTAACATTCATTTAGGTTTTCTTTTCAAAATATGGAATATTTCGTGATAATGATATTATTTTCTGCTTATTATTTAGTCTCATTACATATTGTTCCCTTGATAATAAAAAACTTTTTTAACTGTTGAATTTTGCAGTATACATATTTCTAACATTACTATCATATCAATATTATGTATAAAAGAAATGCATTTTTGCTTGTCTCTCTGTCATCAGTAGTAACAGCATAACTCAAATGTCCACCAAGTATTTGGTTTAGATATTTTAACAAATCTTGTTTACCCAAAATAATATTGAGGTTTGATAGGTTTCATTATTTAAATTTTCGGAAAAAAGTGAAAGGTGCTATGTCGAACCACGCTGCAAAGATGCTCGTGCAGAATGTCTCAGCTGCAATACTCCTTCACTGCAAAGCGGCGCAGCAGCCCAATACACCTGACAGCTCTTGCAACTGCAGTGCACATCTGAATCATTGTTAAATAATATTTACGAAAAGGAGAACACAAATAGTTGTCGGAATATTATTGCAAGGATAAGTCAATCAACCTTGTTAATATTTCAGTGTTCAAATAAAAACTTGAGATGAAAACAGTACAGAGATCAGTTTTTTTTAATGACTCTCTTCAAAGTTAGTCAAGAAATATAACATGCATATTATTTTTAGGAGATTTATTTATTACTTAGCTTTAAATTGCACACGCTATATTTTTATTACATTGTCTATAAAGATGTTATTTTCTCAATTTTCTTACTATCCTCTTTGTGAAGAGAAAAAGGGATATACTTACGCATTTCTCGATGCAATAATTATAATGAAATTTACTGTATCTACCCCTAATCCCGCACACGAATGACGTCACAGTACAAAAATGCAGTAGCGAAGTGCACGGCCGGCCGAGGCCGGGGCGGGCGCAGCGCACGCGCACCCGTCACATCACCGCGATTGTTTACCCCGCGCGCTAGTATACGTAACCGCGCGCTGTTGCCATATCGCGCTCGCCTCCTCTCACTTTCGCGATCTACGCCGTCCCGCTCGCCGTCATTGCACCCGTCTCGCTCTCTCGACTAGCGGTAATCTACTTTTTTGGTCATGCAGTTTTTTCCGTTCTCGGTTATATGATAGATTTACGGTTATTGTTGTTCATAGACAACCGTAAATTTATGAACCTAAAAGTAAAATCTGTAGCCATATTGTCTTACTCTATCTCGAATGTGTTTGAAATCTCATCTAGAAAAGTTTGATATCTTCTATGTTGCAAAACAACAATTTCAGCTTTTCCTCAAACCAAACATAGCAATGTAAAAGACATCAACGCAGGGGCGCGCTCGCGCATTGCTATTATATTATTTGTCAAGGACGATTGCTTTTTTGGATGTTTATCCAAAGTATTATTCAATTCAAATTCTAATGTGAAGTTATCTTTAGATGTTATTCTCCACAGATAATGAAATAAGAAAACCAGTTTTTTCTGTGCTAAACCTCGAAAAAGGCTGCAATTGACGTAACTCCCACTTTAACGCCGATTACGGGCGGATTTTCCAGAGAAGCTCGGCTTTCGTTGGCTTCATCCGGGTATAATCGCGACGCTGCCCGGCTATCCGTCGCCTGTTTGTTCCGCATTTTAATTTCAAATATTCTCCTCCAATGAGCTTTCTTTTCTCATTTCAATGGCAACACAATTATATATTTTTTTTAATCAGAATCGAATCGAACACACATCAAAAACTACTGGGGTTAATTAATACTATTAGGTAGTTTATTAATAAGTTATAAGGTACCGTAATGATATTTGCTGTGCATAAGTATAATAAATAAATAAATATTTCCAACACTCACACCAATTAGCCTAGCCCCAAAGTAAGCACTGTAAGGTTTGTATTATGGGATTCTATTCATGACTGGAGTACAAATGCTCGTATTCATCACACAAACATCTGCCCCCACCGGGATTCGAACCCGGGACTTCTCAAGTCGGCGACACCATGAGACCCGGCGTACAAACCACTTGGCCACGGAGGTCATCAAAGTATAAGCTTTTATCCTTGATCAAAAGTTTGAATTTTTAAGGAATTTGCTCCAATAAAACTTATATCCAAAGTCGGGCGTCACGTTACACAATAGAAAGTGAAGCGGTCTGCGCGGGCGCATCGGCGGCGCTAGAAAGCGGCCGGGCCCGTCGCGGCCGAACGTTCACGACACCGCACTGGCCATGGCGCATTCTTTCACATGTACTGTAGCTGCAACACGACCGACTACTATATTATTTACACACCCGTATCACAATGATACAAGATTCAAATTCGTAGATGCCATAATACACCTTTAAACATTATTGAAACAGTTAATGTGTGAGCTACAAAGTTTTTTATAAAGTGTGACGCTAGAGAACGAAATAAAATCAGCATTCGAGATCACGACCATACAATCGTACTCGCCATATCCGGTTGGCATAGATCTATAATTTATAAATGGGGACGATCACAATACTTTAAGTGTAACACTAACAAAATAAACGGAATGAATAACAATTATCAGCATTTGGAAATACTTAGGCTAATAAAATGTGCTGTCATAAATACCATTTTTGACGACCTCCGTGGCCGAGTGGTTTGTACGCCGGGTTTTATGGTGTCGCCGACTCGAGAGGTTCAAATCCCGGTGGAGGCAGATGTTTGTGTGGTGAATACGAGCATTTGTACTCCAGTCATGGATGTTTAATATATATTTCTATATAAATATACTGTTAACCCTAGCATCCCATAACACAAGCCTTATAGTGCTTACTTTGGTGCTAGGCTAATTGGTGTGAGTGTTGGAAATATTTATTTATTGTTGAAGTCGACAAAAGTAATATTGCAACAGGTAATCACCGCTCAGTGCCAGTGATTTATGTATGTTTTACTGCTATTAAATATCTATAATATTATTGTATCAATGTAGCCTCTTGTATAATACATTACAAGTAATAACCCTTCTTCGGTTAGCAATAAACTGGTTAGTAATTATGTCGGCCTCCCCTTATCGGTGGGAGTCGCGAGCTCGCCGACCCCCGCCGCAGCCAGGTGTGGCCCACCGAGACCCCTTCCGACCCGTTGCGTGATAACCTCACCGGAAAGTGGCCGAACATCTTCACTCGACGATCGAGCCTTTTTAAATATTTATCGCCTACCTACTTACGTAGGTATAGGCCAATTAGTTCGTGTAATATTTTCCTTTGTCGTGTGTTTACTGCAACATAATATTCTTTTGGATGGTTCAGCGAGTTCATGGCCCGATGCTTAATATGTATTTGCATACGAATAATAATGCAGCAAGGTCGTGGCACACCTGCAAGAAAATATATAGTCAGTTCATTGCTCTTCAGAAATATATATTCGCAAACATAAGACTGTTTTGGATTATTTGAAATGCACTTTCCAGATAAATTTCTCTGTGAGCTGCCACATCGTCAAGTGTGTACATCATAAATTATTTTGCACAAAGACGAGTTCAGTAATATAGCAAGTGCTGAAACAAATTGTAGCCATTGTGCTGTAGTATCCGGATGTACCTTTGCTGCACCTTTGTGTACCTCCGCTGGGTCGCTGCCAATTCCGCTTTTAGAACAATACGAGGTCTCTTTGCGTCTCCTGACGACACATCCTTTCATGGTCCCTCTGTCAGTTTTATGACTAAAACATTTTCAAATCGAAATGCCGGCTCTTTATATCATTTCAGAAAGGTGACTACAGTATATTTTTGTGAGATTAGGGCTTTTATGGAATGGAATGCATTAATATTGTGTAACTGTCTGTCTGGTTATGCCACAGCCCAGCCCACTCGTCGAATATGAAAGTCTACATTTACTCGGGTCTATTTATTATTTACCCTAGGTGATGAGAGAATATTTATCAAGCATATTATCGTTGTTTCAGACGGAGCTTTATGGCATAAAATGGCGTAAGCTTGTGTGGGGGGAGTCGAGCGGCGGCGGCGAGGGCGAGGACGGCACGGCGCTTGCCGACCCCGTGATCAGCAGCTATGCGCGCTGCCTCGCCGGCGATATCCTGTGCGTATGGCGGCGCGTGCCGGCGCCCCAGCCGCCGGCCGACCTGTACGAGGTGCAGGCGCCCGCGCCGCCGCCCCCCCTCTCCTTGCGCGCCGCCAAGGAGCTCTGGATCTTCTGGTACGGCGAGGAGCCCGACCTCAACGGCCTCGTCGCACCGGAGCTAATTGCCAGCCGTGAGTATACTAGCTTTTACATACAAACTTATTATTATAATGATTCACGCCTCCATGACTTTTGGTGACAATAGGCGCCGATGCAGGATCGTCAAGACCAACCACAGGATATAAAGAGAGGAAATTGTGACAAACCACCATGATGTCGTCGTCGTTATCTTTTTTCAGCAAATATCTCCTAAATCAGGCCTCGTCGCATCTCACTTTCAGCACTAAAACTGAACACCTGCACGAGCTCAAAACAAATACACGAAACGTTACACATTAAATTACATTCAAATACAAAGTAGATAGTCTTAAAAACGTCTTGTTTATTCTTGTAACACGGAGTTGTTATAATCGTGCCACGATTACGTAAAGGCGAAAGTTAGCGAGAGGTTAATTTGTATGTAAAGCAAGCGGTTGCGACTTAGTCAAAAAAGGCTGATGATCATCCGACAATCTCATTTCTATCTGACGGGGACAGATCCCGCGAATTTGCGGTCTCCAGTCAGACTCGCTACGACATGTTTGGGTACGTTATTCTAAATAGATGTGGTTTCGAGTCCTAATCTATTATGAGGATTTCGCTGCACTTTCTTCTGCTCAGCATTTATTGTCCTGAAGCAGTATAAGTCGCGGCACGCAACTCTAGCGCTGGCCGTTATTGCGCAGAAGTAAAAATTAAGGTGTCTTGGGGGGAAACGAGGTGCGCGGGTGGGCGTGCGTTGCGCCTATTGGCTCTCCAGTCGTACCCATGCGCAGCTATCCCCTCCGCGTTTTGTTCAGCGCTAGAGTTACGTGCCGCGACCTGTAATAGGGATAAAGTAATACTAGGACGAGTAAAAACGCTTTTTATAAGCCTATTTGCAGAAAATAGATAACCATTATTTGGTTGTTTTCTTCGTTGTACACTCCTATTTCCCATTAGGTAGGTAGAACGATAATCTTCAATGGCTATTCAGACGCATATTTATCACTTCATAAAATTCATCAATCGTCACGTTTATAAGCAGTCGTTTTTAAGAAGAGAGTTGTCTCATTAAGAAAGCGTTACTGATTTTGGAAATTAATTCAATATTTTCCAAAGAGGTCCACTGTCTTTACTTGCAGATTCATTTGGTCTTCTCATAAGTCTACCTTCATTCTTCAAGAATTGTTTATTTGGTTTTAATCATTATTTATTCTTACTGCATCCAATATTATTTATAATATTGCTACGAAATGCAGGAATAATGTTTTTGCTGTTATCTAATGTCCTAACAGGGCTCTCATTGCTACTTCATTTAATATGAAAGTATTATTTTCTAAACAATTTCGGATATTCCAATATTTTATTAAATCCATGGTATAAATAAGATTCTTTGCTTTACTGTTGTAATAAAAATACGTCAATAAAATTGCAAAAATTACATGTTCCGTTGTCTCTAATTCTTCATGTTCTTTAATCAATGTTGAAAAATACCGTCGACATCGAGTGTGTGGCCTTAAATTTGACAAAGAATAATAAGGATGATGACTATTTTTTTTTCTTCGTTTATCAGGTAGATTATCAAAAAGTATTGGACACGTATTTTTTCTTTTTTCACATAATATAAAAATTGCAGAGATATATTGATTTGAAAAGTCGCATGACGTCACGTTTGAGTGCACTTATAAGTGAAAATTTACTCAAAAGTGACGTCACGAGCCCCTACTCCCAAAGTTTGACGCGCTATAACTTTGTCATTTTTTGGTTGATTGCCCAAAGAAAAAATATCATCTAACTGACGGACTAAATAGAATTTCGTTTACTGTACCCCGTCATCACCCCTATTGAAGAAACACATGGTGCAAGTCCTATGTAAGATATTCTCTGGGAGGCTGCATGCGGCAGCGGCAGCAGGTGTGGGCGGCGGCTTCAAAGTACCGCAACCGGCCTCGCCGCCCGTTCCCACGCGCCGCGGCTCACTCCCCGTACATATCTACGGCCTACGTGCGAATGTATGCCCCGTATGCTTGCCTCTATGTAATATCGATTCGATGTACCCACCTCTTTGTGCGTGAACATGATTGTGATGATACTCACTAGCCATGGTTACTCTCCAGTCTTCACCTTGGAACGACCAACGAGCTTATGTTGTAATAGATGTACTTCGTTTTTATTTTATTACAGGCAATATTACTGAAATGCATTTTATTCACAGTTCCAAGTTTAACGTCTCGGTATGAAAGATTAGTTTTTATTAAAATAATTCTGAGATAACTTGCTTTTAAAGATAAATGGGGCAGCGATTCTGTTCATATTAGAGTAGACTTATTATCTAGGGATCTTGCAAATGCATTATATCACTAATGTAGTTCAAACGGAACTGAACATTTATTGTAGCCGTCTGTAGTATGCCTTTTAATTTTTTTGCCAATAGAATGAACGAAGATGTTTATTTAATCTGGGGATTAAGAAATCAATCGTCACCATCGCCGAGTAAAGTTCTCACTTAGAACTTATCTTTTCAGTACCCTTAGTACGAGTTTTACAATTACGAAAACTATCATAGTGTTCGTGAGCTCACACTCGTTGATTTTATTGTTTTCGTTTCAATACAAATAAACAGTGTTTAGATTGTATCATTTAATCATTTGCGTCTTCTTAAATTTTAAATATATTTGGTTACGTTTCACCAAAATGGACATAGAAACATAATTTACAATTACGAAACTGTGATAGTTTTCGTGGGCTCAAACTCGTACTAAGGGTACTGTAAACAAAAAGGGGTATGGCATGACGTTGACAGTGCACTTTTGCTTGCTTTTTTCCAAAAATAAAACAAAATCCCTATTCTTTACTGAGTAGATTAGCTTACTTAGAACTTTACTCAGCTATTGTGAAATAGCCCCTAAATGTGGTGTTTTGTACGTTGAACGCTGCTGGCCTAGTTGTTTGTTCGGTGGGCGGCTCCACCCTAGTGTCGTCGGCCGCTCGAGAGCGCTTCGCCCCATACTCTCCGCCGCTACACTTTTTGCTTGCTCCTCCATCACTGAAAGGAATGTAAAACGAGACGAATTTCTGGTCTTGCTTCTAGACCTCATTGCATAACCAGCGCATACTGGTAACTTGATAACATAGATTTATGGCAACATCGAACTCTATAAAACACTGAGTTAACCCGTCATTCTTCGATGCCTTTTAACAATAATCCGTTTTAATTACTGTAAAAGTGAGAAGATTTCGTAAATTGGATTTTTACTCCCTTATTCGAATGTTAAAATAGAAGTGGAGTGTATTAAATTCAATGTCGGGCACTTCAGCAGTTACTTCAACAGGTGGTCGAGCGGTCGAGGCGATACTTTGCCCGCCCTCTCTTTACAACTTTTATTGCACCTATTATACGACTCCGCAGTTTGTTGCCATTGCGGTTTTAACAGGATACACAAACTCAAACCACTGCAATTACTGTTGGAAATATGCTTAATGGCATTAAGTCCACCACTTGTACACTAATTTGTGCAATAAATCTTAAAATAAAATAAAATAAATAAAACAATACAACTAGTGTATTTGATTGAATCATCATCATCAACCTATTAATGTCCCCACTGCTGGGGCACAGGCCTTCCCCATGGATGGAAAAGGGAGATTGGGTCATGACCCACCACGCGGGCCCAGTGCGGATTGGTGGGTGCTAACGATTGCAAATGCAGCCGGGACCAACGGCTTAACGTGCCTACGTGTGTATAACAACAACGCCTAATGTATTTCTATTTCTACAATATTATTTTTAGGTTTTAAAAAAGAAAAAGAGTAATTCGGCCAACAAACTGTGGTCTTGTTTACTTTCGCTGCAGTAATGTTTACAAACATCACAGGGCGCCCCGATTGTTTGACGTAGCCACACCCATTCAGTCGTGTCGGTTAAGTATTCCGACTATACAGTGTAGACTTTTAACGACTTGTTCAAGTAGTGTAGAAACGGAAGATTAGCCGATCCTTGGGCATTTAATTGGTCGTTAACACTTACTTATGGAGTATTCCACACCCACGCATGGCGCAGATAAAGAACTGTAAGCATACCTAATGATTTGCTGAAAGTAACATGAGAGAGAGAGAGAATCATTTTTATTGACCACATTAATAAATTTACAAAACAACATACAAAAAAATATGAAAATATACATAATGGAGTAAATAAAAAAAAATAGTACCATTTGTGGTCAATCAGGATTCTGCCTCAGCGTAATGCTGCCGCAACACGCTACAAAACGTTCACAGCAGCGCTGGTATTCTGGCAGGGCCTATTATGCCGGAACTTCACATGGCCAATCGCATCCGCCTCGATAGCAGTCCCTTCCTCTCACTGCCCGTTGTGGATACACATCTACCAAATACCAAACACGATTAGCCACATGATGTGCCGGCACAAGGTGCGAACATGAGTAAGTTCTCCTCAAACAACAGTTCTGCGAAGATGATATTCCACGTATCATATTGATTCGGTCGTACGTAGTTCGGGCGACGCGGTGCGCGCGCGCACTCTCGCGCAAGTTCACGCTCGGGTTCTCGAAATAGATCGTGACATAAATCTGCATAAACGGTCTTTATTTCGGTCGCCGGCTATTGTTTTGCTTTGCTCATGATTTTCAATGTAGCGCTTGTTTTGTTATTCGCCACCATATTACAAGGTGTTCAATGCGATCAGATAATAAACGAATATCGGGGACGATTAAGGGCCAGAATTAATTATGTTAGCATTGAGATGCTTAAAATGTAAATGACGTCGTATCTTGCTAAATTAGGTTAGCAATTAGTGTTAATTAGTTTTAAATTCAAATGAAAATGGTATATTAGTAGTGTTATTAAAAGTTCTAATACGTTTTCGTTTTTTTTTTGATTTTTTTATGAATGTTAATATTTACAGATAATATTATGCAAGTCAATGCGAGTAGCCCAAGATCGATCTGAGTTGCGTGCATTTGGAGAGGCCTATGTCCATCAGTTGACTAAGATAGGCTGTTGATGATGATGAAGTCACACTTAAAAATGT